AAAAGAAGCCTTTCTTCATCGGCACAGGTATGCCTCGTGAAACCAGGTCTACCTGTGCCGATCAAGAAAGGCTTCTTTGTTGGCGCGGTGCATCCAGACTGCCCCGATCTGCCGACAAACAGCTGATCATCAGCTGGTCAGCAGAGTGCGGCAGCCATTTAAATTTAAATGAAGCCGTGATTATTTAAATCGTGGCTTCATTTCCCTCTGCCAATCAGCCTAATCTACATGGCTCCATCGACGGAGCCATGTAGTTTAGACACACCCTCTGAGGCTTGGGCCTTGTCGATAGCGGGGATTTGCCCCACTTACGACAATTACTAGCACAAATCCCTCCTGGCATCTGAATGGAGGCGGCTTACGCCAATTTCACTCACCAGAACAAATCACAGCATATGTAATAGTTTTGCTTGTCTGCCTATAGCCGGGTTTTGCACTTCTGGATTAAATCCCATGGGCAGGCAGAGCCCATATGTTGGGAAGGAACTATTCTAAAAAGTAGAACTTTGTAGTTCAGCATGAGGTTGTTAACTGTACTTAAGAATCAGGCCCATCATCGAACACTAGAATTGGAAGGGACCTCGAGAGGTCATCGACCTAGGAACCTTAGATTCTATAGCTCATTTAAGTGCACAAGAGTAAGGGCTGCAGATCGGACTCTAGTGCTATTAGCGTTTAATGATCTTAGTGTGAGTTAATCTTAAGACCAAGTGGAGCCCTTGGTGCACTGACACTGTGTCCTAGCTAAAATGTTCTAGGTACAGAGGAGCTGCTTATTAAAATGACAGCCCTGTTCTGTTTCGCAGGATTTGCACCTCCAAGGCATAACCAATTGGGACTGAGCCCTGACGAGTGAGGCTTCATTCCAAAGGGTGTTGAAACATTTGTTGGCTTGTAACCACCTAACCAGGCGGTTGAGATCACTGTCACAGTAACCGGTTCTCCTCCTTTGATCTGTGTCGTCAGAAAACTTTACCCGTGAAAATTTGATACCGTTGTGTAATTATTGATCAAAGTACTAAATAGCATTGGACCACAAACCGATCCCTGGGGACCTTGCCACAAGCAGCTCCCTTTAGCGATATCTCCAGATTGGTTGGTGACACAGACTGGAATCCATCTGATAGGTATCATGTGTCCTATTATTAATCAAAATGCCACGTGGGAACTAAATCAAGCTTTGGTGAAATCCATGCAGTTGCCTTTATCAATCCGACCTGTAATCCTGTCTCTCCCCCTCCCCCCCCAAAAAAAATCCCCAAACAGGTTTGGTTGATAAGACCTACCTTCCATTAAAGGAAGCTAATTGGCATTAGTTGTATTTGTAGCCTCCAGTTCTTTGTTGCTAGCATCCCAATTTAACCATTCTATTATTTTATCCAGGATTGATCTTAGACTAACTAGTATATAACCCTGATCATTCAGGTTTTTTTCTGAATGCAGAACAGCGGTTTTATCAAGTGGGTGGCATATTTCATGTAGGTTTTTTTGGTTGTTTCCATCTGTCATATAATAAAGTGCTTGTTTGGGAGCTTTTTGGCTTGTAAATGGGCTTTTCTTTGCTGT